TTATTTTAATATAAAAATAAAAATTATTTCTTAATAAAATTATAAATTTTAATATAGAGAGAAAATTTTAATTTTCAATATATTTTATTAATAAATTTAGCCTCTGAATTATTTACTTTTTGTTGCTATTGTATAATAGTATTTAATTATATTTAAAAAAATTAAAATGTATTTTAAAAATAAAATGATATTTTTATTAATAATTATAATATAAGTTTATTATATAAATTCAAAAAAATATTTATATGCTTTATAATAATTTATTAATTAATATTTTAATATTTATAAAAACTTTGAAAAATAATATTATTATAAAAATTATTTGTTAAAATTATATAAGCTAATTTTTACTAATAATTTATAAAAAAATTATTTTTTTATTTTAAAACAAGATATTTATATTTAAAATACAATAAAATTTTCCCTGTACTTTTTACCAGCCACTATATTTTAAAAACTTATAAAAAATAGTTAATTTTAATAAAAATAAATGCTAAGAAATTTGTTTTATTATAATATTCAAAAAATACACCAGGATTTTGGATATTAACATAACTATAGTAATACATGAACTGAACAAGGCCATACAAAATTAATTTTTTGGTTTTGTCTGGCTTTTAACTTTATTTTCTAAAAATTTTGTATTATAATCTTTGTTTCAAAAATTTTTTAAAAATCCCCATTTGGAAGTTTTTATAATAAATAACATATAGAATTTTTTTCAAGTCTTGCGAAAATTGATCTGGGCTGGTTATGAGAAACCATAAATTTACTTTGCTTTGTCTAATACATGTAATATATCTTTCTTGTATGGTTATTTACACAACGCATAGTTACTTTTATGCGAGTGAGAATCAGGTGATTAATGGCTAATAATGTAAGTGGTGCGTTATTTATGCGGCCACTGCATATATGTAATGTTATTATTATGTTGAATGTCCCAGATTTCTTAAATGATCTGAATCTAACTTTGTCCTTCGTCATAATATGGAAAAAAAATTTTTTCCATTATTGTACAAACTGACAACTACGATATTTTTTGTCACAAAACAAAGTTTGTATATAAATGTGGAATCTCTAAGTACTTTTCTAACAATCAAAGAAATAGGAATCTCGTTAATTTAAGCAATTGTTTGAATAAATATAATTTTCTCAAGGAAGTAAATAAATAATTAGGAAAATAATATTTCTTGGCAAGTAAAAGCTGTGCGCTAAATTTTATCACGAGAGTGGAGACTCACGATATAATGGATAATATCTAAAACTGCTTTTAATAAAATCCACTCAATATAGTAAATTTACCAATAAATTTTCAAAAACCCTTGATAGTTCGGCATTGTTGGCATACTGTTAAGAGGGGTCTGGTACGGAACACAATTCCGAACGTTCATAAGCCGAATGATCGAAATCCCGAAATCGTGATAATTTTAGTATTCCATGAATTGATACATGTTCTATATTTTCGGGATTTCGATCATTCGGGATTGTGATCTGCGGGATTTCGACCGTGACCGGTTAAGAGATAATAAACTTTAACACAATTCACTTGTTCACACTTGCATCTTCTACCATTGATTTTAGTTAATTTTTGAAAATGAATGCTATCTTGACAGCAATGCTAAAAGATACAAGTCACATATAAACCTGTGCAAACGAACTTAATAATGGTCAGTTAACCGTTAAATCAAGAGCATATCATTAATGACCGAGTTGCAAAACCTTTTTGAAATTCATGGGTTAGGTAAGCAAATCTGTGGGTAAAAATATTTTTTATTATACAAATAACTGACAACTCATGATATCAAAATTACGTGATCATCTTGGTATTCAACTAACGCTAATTGGGACAAAGGCAATCACGTGAGCTAAACACAGAGTAGAGTAATCGATTGATTTTCACCATATCACTAAATTTATTCAATTGTGAATTTTAAATAACGATAACACACACAAATGCCCATCCCATTTTTGGATGATTGAATAGTATCCTACCCTGAAACTTGCCTAGTTAACAATTTACATGTGGATAGAATGAAAAAAGGAGAAAAGATCTTGATAATTGATGGTGATGCACAATTGATATACGTTCGTACTTATATTAATACATACCGATACATAAAATACTGGTATATTTATTAAAAAGATATAACTTAGTGGAAGGTAATAGAATGCCTTTTACGGTTGTACCGTACGCCCAACTTCTTGTACGAAACATAAATAATAATGCACATTATTTTTATAAATGTATTCCCTTTCTTCTTGACACACAACCACTTTTTGTTAACTTAATAGGGGAAAGCAGGCAAACAACAGCATATGTGTACATGTACCTCGTTCATATTATATATAGGCATTAAATTTGGAACCAAAAACAAAAAATTACGAACGAGCGATGGGCTTTTGTAATTAATACATTAAAAAGTTAAAATCATTCTCGATATTTTTTCATTTTTCACATTGATAATTCTTTTTCACTGTTCTTTTTTTTCTTCCTCGTCGCTTATTATTTTGCCTTTCTATGCTCAGAAAATATTTGTAATATATTCTGTATTAGTATTAATTTTATTGTTGTTAATATATAAGATACATACATATAAAAAAAATGGAAACCTTAAGTTTTCCAAAATCACCAGAGATTCATCGTTTTAACGGTGGAAAACCACGTCGTTTCATCGATACACTAAAGAACATTTTCAGAAAATCGAAAAAAAACGGCAGCAACCCACAAGAAAATGTAATAACACCAGAATCAACGAAATTAAACATTCTTCTCGAGTCATTATCACAGATAATTGATCCTGGCGCAGAGGACCAACATTATTTAGCAAAAATAGAATCATGGTTAGAAGAGTATCGTCCACAAACTAATCGCAAACAAGTATTCAGACAACTGAATCGAATTGCAAAACATTATCACGAGTATAACTGTCTGCTGGCATTCTTTTATCAACATGGAATCGGGACTCGCATACACACGAAAAAATCATTCAAATATTATAAACGCGGCGCCGAAAATAATGATAAATTTGCGCAGAATCAAGTTGGATGGTCATATCAGAATGGGATTGGAACAAAGCGAGATTTTGATAAGGCTTTTCGGTGGTATACAGTTTCCGCGGAAGCTGGTGATACTTCGGGTATGTGCAATCTGGCATATTGTTATGTGGACGGGACTGGAACCGCTCGAGATTTAAATAAAGCGTTCTTTTGGTTCAAGAAGAGTGCGGAATCTGGAATTGCAGTGTCACAGTTTGCGTTGGCTGGTTGTTATCGTAATGGGCAAGGAACTCCTAAGGATATTCACAAAGCTTTATTGTGGTATCAAAAGGCTTTGAAACATGGATATGATTTCTGGCGGCTAGATTTACATCAAATATTGGTTGTGGGATATTAGTAATTTTTCTTATTTTCTATTTAATAAAGGCTTTGATAGTCTTTTTTAAATTGGACTATTATTAATTATTATGAATTGCAAAAAAAATCTTTTGCAACAATAAAATATACATGTATGTAGATAATAATAATAAAGATAAAACCTAAAGTTTCATTGTCAAAATAAACGAGTCAAACAACCGTTTTTTTTTTGTTTAAACAATACATGTACAATGCAAAAAAAACACTAAATTTGAAAACCGACTGTGTTACACTCATACACTTAACGCATCTCCTGACCCCTTCTCTTTGTGCACAAAGTTCATTCATGATGAAAAACATTTCCACATAAATTTTATATAGTACAATTGCAATGCAATTCATTTTCACAGACAACACACCAATAAAATTTCGTTCCGTCTGAACCCACTCTCGTATTGGTAGTGTGGATTGTTTTATGCAGGGGCGCAAATAAAAAAATGGGCTAATGTTAACGAATGATAAATCTAAGATACTTGTTTCGAAACCTGCTTGTTTGTATTCTACATTTTAACATTTTACATGTATATAATTCTAAGCTTTTTTTCAAGTAATAATCATTATTGTTATCGTTATCACGATAATTGATATAATTGATTGTTTAGTTGCTTCGCCCCGCCAACAATGAGATCATTTTGTTTGTTAACTCTAAACAAAAATGGAATTTTTTTCGGAATTACATGTAGTATTGAACTGAATCCTAATCGAGAGTAATTGAAATGCCAAAAAATTATTAGAATGAAATAGAATGAAAATAAGGGTTTCTTTTACGTCATATCTTTAGAAACTGTTTTCGAAGTGTTATAGTCTAATGCCAGACAGACTGAAGATACGCCAATAAAAATACTTGGTGACCTGTTTTTAAATACAGAGAATTTTTTTTACTTTATCCACAATCATGCATATGTCATATTCTCACGAACCAAAACTTCTCAAGGGAATAAAAAATTTGATCAAACGCACTCGCATTTACTCACTGTAGCGCCTCATGTGCCTAAATTAGAATAGGAGAATTAGGGTTAGAGTTAATGTTAATGTTGGGGATATATATTAATGTGGGCCGAAGCCGAACACGTGATGCATCACCCAGAACACAACAATAACATTATATGTAAGTTGACATAGACGATACGTCATATTAAACACTAAATCAGCAATAAATCGATCACGACATCTCGAAGATTAAAGTTGTACAAAAACAAAAATAAAAACATTATTACATATTCATTAATCGCTAACTGGGAATAAATTTTTGTTGTTTTTGGCAATTACAATTTAACGAAAAAATAATATATATACACACATAAATGGCAGACATTGAAACACTAGATTTCTCTGATCAAACGCTTCTCGCGGACTTACTGTCTGCATTCCGAGCAGTAAAAGTTCCGGGCGGCGATGACCAATACCTACTAGAACGCATCGAGAAATGGATTGCGGCTCACAAGATTCCGCATCAGGTGATTTTTCAGAAACTAGTTATACACACAGCAAAAAATGTAGAATTCGCTTGTCTCCTCGGAATATTTTATCATTATGCTATCGGAACACCACAAAACCCTACAAAAGCTTTCGAGATGTATAAGCTCGCTTCAGAAAACAATGATGCATTTGGGCAGAATCAGGTCGGATGGTGTTATATCAAAGCATTTGGAACCGATATAGATTTCAAGTTAGGGTTCGAGTGGTATCAGAAATCAGCAGCTGGTGGTGACCATTGTGGTGAATGCGGCGTTGGGTACTGTTATCGTATGGGATGTGGGACTGAGATTGATATCAAAAAGTCGTTATATTGGTATCGAAAGTCGGCATTTGCGGGTGAGTGCACTGGTGAATTTGGGTTGGCGTTTTTTTATCGAGATGGTTGGGGTGTGCCTAAAGATGTCCATCAGGCAATCAAATGGTATGTTAAAGCTAAAGGCTGTTATTCTTTTTGGCACTTGAGCCAAGTGATGTATCCGTAATATTTTTATTTACTACAATGAAGAAGCTAGAATTTTTAGTTAAATTCCGAATTTTCTAAGTGCAGTGTATGATTTGAATCCAATTTCAAATTGGTGTAAGCTAATTTATTTTCGAATCTAAATTGCTAAATAACTTGTATAAAGGGACAAATATATATATAGAAAGTTTCTACAATCCAACTCACATTATTTTCTTACCATATGGTTTAAATAAGAACATGGTTCAGTTACAATTTTCTTTATACGTACTATGAATTTATTTAAATAAAATCGTTCAAAAATTACAAGCATCAATTATCGCTGAATAGAACCGCACAATACAAAATTTTGTAGTTCTTGCATGTACCCATGGACTTCCATTTTCAGCCGCTTGTTTCGATATAACGAACGCATCCTGTTCTATTATTGAAAAAATTTGTTATATCGAAACTTTACTAATAAGTCTGTTATCGTTTTGTCGAGTAAAATTTAATACAGACTGTTTGAAACCTCGATCTGCCATTAAACAAAGCCAGCATTTTGTTTATTGTTAATTGTGGCAGATTAAAATGAAATCGGATTAAAATGAAATTGGGGTCTTTTTGAATCCTCTTTTAATGCCTCTGA